AAAAGAGCAGCTGCTTCATCCTCTTTGCAAAATCTAGAAATAGGAGGATGTGTTTTTTGTAGATGGGATAGATCACCTTCGCTGGCAAGATCTTACAGCTTTTGTGGATTTTGAAACAAAGTGCTTAAACCCATCCAATGGTTTGGCCTTGTTCCTTCCTTGCAGGTATTGACCAGGGTCAGATGACCTACGAGGGCCAGCACTGGCACGCCACCGATGCCTGTTTCAGCTGCTCCCGTTGCCAGCAGCCCCTCCTGGGGAAGCCTTTCCTGCCCAAGCAGGGTCAGATCTTCTGTTCCCGGGCCTGCAGCCTCGGTGAAGACCCCAACGGCTCAGATTCCTGTGACTCTGCCTTGCAAAGCACCCGTCCTCAGGATGCTCGGAGGACCAGCTGGCAGCAACGCCGAGTTCAATCTCAGGGCACGTCACCCTCCTCCATCACCCGCTCCATTTCCTTTGCGGGGAAGATGGTACCGTCAGACTCTACCCCAAGGACCCGAAGGAGCTGGAGTGGGGCGCGTGGGGATGAGGAAGAGGAGGTGCCGACGGAAATGGAAGAGCTCTCCGATCCAGACAGCAATGGTTCCGGCTACAGCCAGAGTTGTGAGGAGCCAGTGGAACGGGCTTCCCGGGGAACGTCGACTTGCCTGCCCCCAGCCACTGACCAGGAACCAGGAACAGGTGAGGTAGCGCTAAGTGGAACAAGAATGCTGCCGGTGTGCAGGGCTAGTTGGGGAAGGCTTCTAGCTTTGAGACTTAGCCCCGTCCCCGCCATTAACCATCTGGTTTCTCCTCAGGGACCGAGCTCCAACCGCGTTTCCAGCGCACCTCCCCCTTGCGCCACTCTATGCCGGAGCTGGGGATGTCCTCTTCCAAAACCTCTGACTGGAGCAGCAGTTCCACTTCCAAAATTCAAGCATCTGCCCGGCCACGACTCAGCGAGGGCAGAGAGCCCGGGACTTTTGCCCGGGGAGGAGTACCCCGGGTTAGTTTCCGGGAACCCTTAATCTCGGGAGAGCCCAGCACCCCTTCCCCTGAGCAAGCCTCCTTGGAGACCTCTATGCTGCAGAAGGGGGGAGCCATCCGGGGACACCCTCGCTCCACTTCAGATAACTCTCTCAACCTGGGGAGCCAGGACTGGAGGCCAAGGAAGGGGAGGGGGGAAAGGAAGGGAGCCAACCTGTCCTATTCAGCTTCAGAGAGTGCTTTTCCTGCCTGGCACCGGCGCTACCCTCCCAGGGGATGGGACTTCAGCTCCTCCGAGTCCTCCGATTCATCCTCGGAGGAAGAAGGCTACTTTCTAGGGGAGCCCATACCCCTGCCACCCCATTTGCGTGCTGGAGCCAGTTCCCCAGAGGTCACGCCACCCAGCGAATCAGCTCACAAAAGGCAGCGCCGAAGACTGCGCGTGGTCCGGGACAAGAACTGTGTGGTGGCCTGAGCTGTCCTGGTTTTTGCTATTGCAGTCCAGCTGTAAACGGGCTTTGAAGCTTGTCTGAATGGTGAAATGTTGATCATTCTCTCTCTGAGGGCCTCTGCAGCCACTGGCCATTGTTTCTTCCTCCTTGACCCGTGCCTCTTTCGACAGGGATTCTCCTCAGAAAGTGACCTCTTCATCATGACCGCTGTTTCTGTTGAAACCTTTCCTCAGGGAGATTTGAGCGGTTGGTTTTTTTTTTCCCCTCACGCTGACCTCTGATCTCTAGACGTGACCCTTGTGTGAAGAAATCTGGAAGTGTCTCTGTGGTGTTCTTTGAACTGTGGTAGTTTATTTTCCGTGGTGGCCTTTTGACCTCTCAACTGTGACCTCCTGAACGCAGCTTTAACTTTGTCCTCTTGAAAGTTCAAGTCCTGTAAACCTCTGCACTCTACCCCGTGAGCGAGCTTCGAGCAACAGCAATTTACCTGGGAACCCTTGCACTTCTGTTTTGACCTTTTTACTGTGACCTTTGAATATTTGCACCATTCCTGGGTGATCCTTTTGGCCCTTGATCCGAGTTGCTATTACTAAATATAAGTCTCTAGCAAGATAGCAGTTTCAAACTTTGGGATTTTCTTCCTTTGGTAGCAAGGTGTTTGGTGGTGATATGCGTGTGATTGTGTGTGTACACTGAGTGAGGCTGAACTGTTCCCTTGCTTTCCATGCTAGAAGTGGAACATGGGCAGAAGATGTCTTCTAGGGGGTAAACCCCTCAATGTATCTTCCTAATCAAACTGGACCTGTGATTTTTTCCCCCCCAGTCTAGTCTCTCTGCACTGTGTGCATTTCTAAAGTTTGCAGTTTTTTAAAAAATGATTTTTTTTCTAATTAAGAGTTTTAATTTAAATGAAATTGAAATAAACTTCATGAAAAAACCACTTCTTTTGTATTGCAGTGGATCATTAGAGCATGTTGGATATTAATAAGAAAAAAAAAGATAACATAAGGAACAAACGGAGATGGGTGTTATGGTGCAGTGGGGAAAGGGGAGTGATTTCCTCATTACAGCAGCCTCTAGTGGGAGTAAACAAGAGGGCGCCCTCCAAAATTGTGTGTGTCTGTATAGATCAGGGGTAGGGAACCTTGGCTCTTTTATGACTCGTGGACTTCAACTCCCAAAATTCCTGAGCCAGCATGGCTAAGCATGGAAACCTCTCCCTTTTTCCTCAGCATGGCTGGCTCAGGAATTCTGGGAGTTGAAGTCCGAGTCATAAAAGAGCCAAGGTTGCCTACCCCTGGTATAGATAAATGAATCAGCTTCTGCAAGTGGATCAGGATTATGGAATCTGTCATCTGGAAATCAGTAGGATACCTGGTTGATTCTCCTTGGCTTACATGCTAGAGACTGGCAACATTTTGGCAACCAAGACTGCATTTGAAATATTTTTTTTAAAAATAGGATCTTTTTTTTTACTTAATACACCTAATTTTGGGCTTACACAGTAGGTTTCATTTGTTTCAGGTGTCAACACAGCAGAAAAATAAACCCATTTTCAGCTGTCATGGTCAGATTGGGCTTGGGGAGGTCTGCAAAAAAAGGAAATTTGGGGACAAAAGATTGTACACACTGAAAAAGTATAATAATATTATGTTGATCTTCATGTCCCAACTTAGACAAATTGGGAGCAGGATATATTATTTCATTGTAACTTAGGCAAAAACAAACAACTTTGCTTACTGAAATAGAGCAGAAAGAAATATATGTTATGACTTATCCTCTCCCTAAAAAAGCAACTATAGTTTGCTACTTAGAAGTAAACATTTTGGATTTGACTCTTATACCAAGTCTGCCAAATCCACCCTTGGTGAAAAACAGCATCTGGTTTTGGGAAGACTGTGTAGCACAATCCACACAAATTTGAATTAATCAGGGTAGATGTAACATATAGAAACTTTATTTTTAAATAAATGAAAGTTGTGATTTGTGAGATGCTACTTATTTGGTAGAACTCCCAACACAGGGAAATACTCTATGTGACTACTCTACAGCACTAAAGATGCAGAGAAGCTTCTTTCTGATGGTATATCTGTATTACTTAGTGGCTGACTGAAGGTAGCTGATCAAATTCTTGGCAATTTTGTGGATGCAGCACTTACTTTGTGTACACTGACAGCTGAAACACTTCTATTTAAATGTAAGAAGAGAGTCACAGAAACACACAGTGTAATAATAGTAGTAGTAGTAGTAGTAGTAGTAATAATAATAATAATAATAATAATAATAATAATAATAATAATAATAATAATAATAATAATAATAAAGCCAGACTCCTTTTCCAAGATGGAGAAGTTTCACAGATCCCTTTAATTATACTAACAATTCTCTACAGCCAAGATTGCATGAAATATTATGGTAGTGGACATCAAGTAATCAGACTTCATACCAATTCAGATATAGTTTATTTGCACTTTAAACTATTTTATTTCTCCAGCAACCACAAAATAAAGCCAAGCTGCCCAAAGTCAAACAGGAGAGAATTGGGTGAGATGGCAGTAGACATTCTCTTCTATCTTTCCCACCCTGCAGACAGGAAAGTGTTCTACGCTTAAGGCAATGATATACGTTTCCCCAGAAGAAAATCAGGCCGCTTATGTGTCTCCTGATAGATCACTGAGGTCTTAGCCAAGGCTGTGTGTATTCTGCACTACACCAAAATAATTATTAAAAAATACCCAGAAATCAGCACCAAGATAAGCCAAGTTCTCTTCTTTGGGAAAAAATGACTTAACAAGTATATGAATGCATAACCCAAATACAGTATGTCACTGGAAGGCAAAAATCACAAAACTGCGTCTCACTTATTTTGGCCATATCATGTGGGAGAAATTCACTGGAGAAAGCAATTATGCCTGGAAGAGTTAGCAGTAAAAGGAAACCAGGCCACCAAAGATGGTTGAACGCCATCAAAGTTCACACCAGCCAGAACATAGGAAAAAAAACTCAGAAATAGTGCAAGATCGGAAGAGGTGGGGAGACCTGGCCCACAGAATCGCCAAGAGTTGGACACGACTGAATGGATAACGTCAACATAAAGTATATGAATTTGCATATTTTATATAAAAGTTTGATATGTTAACTATTTTTATAAAAAAAAAATCTATAAAATAGGGCAGGGTAATGAACTCTGCATGGCACTAGAGCAGGGGTGTCAAACTGCTGGCCCACAGGCCAGATGCGTCACGTGGAAACCGCGCCCACCCCAGCTCCAGCAAGGGGAAAAAAGTCACGATACGTTGCGCTACGTCATGTGACATGGCGAGTTTGACACCCCTGCACTAGAGCCTGGAAATCTAATTCAGAAAAGTTTTCCTTAATCTGGAAGTTTCCTGATGGAAACTCACCATTTCTATTTGCTCACAATGACTGAACACACACAACCCTACTGTGTAACCTAGTACTTGTTTTAAAGACTGAGGTTACCTGAGAGAGGTAAGATTAGGGGAGGAAATAAATGGTATAGAAAAAGTTACCAATGTAGGATGCCTTTTAAGTGCTTGCTTTATTTTTTAAAAAAAATAATTTATCATAAATGGGTATTTAAGATGGGTTAGTGAAATTTCAAATGCCTTTTCATGGGGTTTGAACTCAAACTCTTGAATTCAAAAGTTACAAACTTTTGAAAAAGTCCTAGTTACTAGATTGCAAAATAGTGGCTTGTTATCTAGAAAATCTGGATGCAAGCACCTGGAGTCTGCAGGGCAAACAGAGACCCCAATGAGAAGGTCCAGTGGGGTCCATTTGCACTTTGCTGTCATTTTCTACTAATAGGACTAATCACGAAAAGGCTTTTTTTTTTTTGCATCTCAACCAGAGAGTAAATGGAATTACTCCCAATCCAATGCAATCCATAGTCATAAACTTATATAATCCATCTTTACTGGGCTCTTGCAATTTCCCTGAAGGATTCCAGAATTGCCCTTGTTTTCCATTGCTGAAACAGTCTCATAAAGTGGAGACAAAAGGAAAGGACCTGCCAAGTCAGACGACAATCAGTCCTACTGGGCACTCATGGAAAACAGGCTCTGGTGTTGCCAAATTGATACAGGGAGGTGGTCTCTTGGGGACAGATCCCATAGAAGGCAATAGGTGATGGGTCCAGTGTGGCATTTTGTCTTGAGGTGAAAGAGGGATGGTGTCTTCAAATCCCTTCTGTAGGCTCTGTAAGAAGCAGAAAAAGGACAGACCGATATTAAGCAAAGTTATTATTGTAACTTGCTTGTTCTTGCTTGGAAAGATGAGAACTGCTGCCCAACAATCCTAATTCTAGCTAGAAGCTATTGATTGCTATTCATCCCCATCCGAGCCCTAGGAATAGGGATGAGGTGTTGTAACGTTGCTCCCTGCTTTACAATTGTCAGGAAAACAGTGAAAGTACAGGATACACATTTTACAAATAAATACAATATAAATAATATGTGCTTCTGTAAGGCCCAGATATGGGGCCATGAAGATTATTTTATATTCCTGGAAAGACACTTGAACACAGATTCCAAAGGCTGGCTTGTGGACTCTCTCTTTGACTGGAAGACTGGACAATGGGGTTCTATGCAGTTGGGGTTCTGTTCGTTGTTTAAAAACTGAGCAGTAGTAATTTTTCCATTGATGTACTTAGTATGGTACCTGACTATTTGATTTCATTTTGAGTTAGCTTTTGGTCTTCATTGCTGCTAGTTTATTTTATCTGAGTTTTTAAATGTTCTATTTTATTTGTATCCACATGTTTTGTTTTCGTTTTGTAGTTCTACAAATTAAAAAGATAATGGCAATATAATTATATCATCTCATTAAAAAAAATCAAGGGAGACAAAAATAGAAATGCTGTCAGGCAGGCTGACACTAAAAATCACATTATGTGTGCATATATGTCTTTCCTACTATTTATAGGCTTAGTCCTACCTAGAGTCTAGGTCAGACATGTCAAACTTGCGACGTCACATGACGTCGCGCAACGTATCGGGACTGTTTTGCCATTGCCAGCAATGGGGTGGGCGCAGCCCATGAGCCAGCAGTTTGACACCTCTGGTCTAGGTGACTTAAAATACAGAAAATAAAACATAAAAATACACACACAAAAAAAATCAAGGAATATAAATATTTTTTTAAAAAAAATGATTACACCATTCACATTCTTCTGCTATTCAGCTATAAATGGAATTGCATTGGACTGTCAGGGAATAGTTATTTTAATGAATATATATTAACAATACCTTGCATTAAAAATGCACTAGCATTAAAATGCAAGGAACAGTCACAAGTCACTTTTTTTTAGTGCTGCTGTAAGTTTGAGCGATCATTAAATGAACGTAAGTCAAGGACTACCTGTACGCTATCATTTTATATTCTTAAAAAGCCACTGGGCTTCAAGCAGAACAGCTCATCCACCCACACTGCCCATTGCTCAAAGGGTCCTGGAATGCAACAGAGTCATCATAAATCATGCAGACATTCTACAGCCGAGTTCAAGGAAAAGGATGGCAATTTCAGAGAAAAGAATTCTTGTAGGGGGGGTGTCCCATTTTCCTTGCTGGGTTTAACAAGTGGTATGCCTAGTTCTGGATACAGAAATCTACAGTGGAAATCAAAAGACTGATGCCGTTTCCAAAAGCAAGGTTTTGAGCAGGGGTAGGCAACCTTGGCTCTTTTATGACTCGTGGACTTCAACTCCCAGAATTCCTGAGCCAGCGAGTTGAAGTCCACGAGTCATAAAAGAGCCAAGGTTGCCTATCCCTGGTTTTGAGGATCTGATTCATGCAAGGAAGAAAAGACTTCTTGAAGCCACCCAACTGCCTTAACCCAGAAGACCTACCGGTGGGAGCTGCTGTATGGGTTTTCCTGATAGAAGGCAAGATGGTGTATGCATCGTAGCCAAAGAGGATTCCAGTCAGAATTGAAGCCACCTATTGAAAAGCAATGAAATTTTAATTTGGGGATTCAGGACTTTCCCCCCCACACACACACACACAATAATAGGCTGAAAGTTTTTCTAGATGTACAACTCCCAGTGTTACCGATGAAATATATTAGGAGTTATTAAACAATGAGAAAACAATTGAGAATTTTATGTAACAAATGAAGTTATCTAGACCTATAAAATTGGTAAGCAGGCAATAATGCATGATAAAATCTTGAGCCGGAAACAACCTGCCAGATAGAAGGTATTATTGTAGCAGCTGCGTTTTGTAATATACAGGTAATTCTCAACTTACAACCACTTGCTAACTGTCAGTTCAAAGTTACAGTGGCACTTAAGTAATTTCTGACCATTTTTTACCCTTGAGACCATAGCCACATTTCCACGGTCACATGTTAAAAATTTGGGGACAACTCACTTAACCATTGACTTACTTAGCAATGGAAATTTTGAGCTCAGTTGTGGTTGTAAGTTGGGGACTATTTGTAATCTCGTTTTATTTCTATGGCTTTTTTTTCTTCACCTTAAAATAACTACTCTTTGAATTTTGCCAAATGATGGGTTAGGATACATGTTAGATCCTACCTAGTGGCGATGAGGGTGGCTAGGACTAACTACTATTCCTCGCTCATCGCGTCATCAGATAATCGCCCGGCTGCCCTCTTCAGGGTGACCCGCTCTCTCCTCCAACTGAGGGGAGGGGGGGATCCCCTGGAGGGGAGGGCCGAGGATTTTGCACAATATCTGCATGACAAAGT